GTGCGGACATGACGAGAAAGGGACCCTCCTTCACTGCTGGTGGGAATGCAGGCTGGTCCAACCCTTTTGGAAAACAGTATGGACGACTCTCAAAAAATTAGAATTTGATCTGCCATTTGACCCAGCTATAGCACTCCTGGGAATATATCCCAGAGAGGCAAAAAGGTATAGTCGAAGTGACATCTGCAATTGTTTGCTCATTGCAGCACTCTTTACAATAGCCAGAATCTGGAAAATACCTGAGTGCCCAAGAGCAGATGACTGGTTAAAGAAACTTTGGTACATTTACACAATGGAGTACTATGTAGCTGTTAGAAAAGATGAAGTTATGAAATTTACATAAAAGTGGTACTACATGGAAAGTATCATGTTAAGCGAAATGAGTCAGAAAGAGCGGGATAGACACAGAAAGATTGCATTCATCTGGGGAACATAAAGCAACAAAACGGGAGACTAACACCCAGGAATGGCTGAGATTAGTACCAGGAATTTTGCTCCATGAATGGAAGGCCAGCCATACGTTCTAGGTGAAAAGGAAGCTCAGATAGAGAAGAGAGCACCAAATGAAGGGTGTTGTGAGGGCCCTCTCAAGGTGGGAGAAGCATGCTAAAAGTAGTCTATAGACCAAACGTGATTGCCACTCAGTGCCTCTCTTGCAAAACACAGTACCCAAAAGAAGAGAGAGAGAACAAGGGGGAATACCCTGCCACAGAGGCAGGATGGTACAGGGGGGATGGGGGGTGTGGAGGGATGCTGGGACCCGTGGTGATGGATGACGGGCACTTGACAGACATAGGGATCTATGAGGGATGGGCACTTGATCATTGTATAACTGAAACCCAAGCACAAAATTTGTAAGCCTATAACTGTACCTCATGGTGTTTCACTAATAAAAAAAGAAAAAATAATAAAAATAATAAAAAAAATAAAATCACTGACAATGATCTTGTAGAAGGTGTGGTCTTCTTTATAGAACTTCTCCAGTTTCATGTAGAACTTCTTTATTTCATAATTTTAGAACTTAAATTTAATATTATATTATATTTATTTTCTTCTTTGTTCTCTATTTCTATTTCTAGAAAGTCTGAGATCCATGAAGTAGAGGCCCTATTGCTATTTAAATGTCATATCTAAAATGCACAGCATAGTGCCTGGCTAACAGTATATGTTTAATAAATACCTGTTAATCAAATTATTTTAAAAAATAGTAATGATTTAAGACTATACATAGAGGTTAATAGAATCAAATACAAAGATATTTAGTCAAACAATTATTGTGAATTCTTTAGTTTGGGCATTTGGAAGCCATTGATGAGAGTAGTTAATTTGGGGTGGAAGGTGGAGGTAGGAGTGTTGTGGATAAGTAGTAAGAGAAGAAAGAGGACGTTGAAACACATACGCATTCTTTTATTTTTGTTTATTTGTATTTGTTTTACTACCACACTAAGCAGTGCTCAGGGCTTCTTCCTGGCTCTGCAGGACAAAGTCAAGTTTTCTGAATTCCAATACTACCTGCTATATACGGCTCCAGCTCAAGGACAAAAGCATTTTAAGATACTTGACTGAAAAAGGGACAGGAAAAATGTTGTGTTATAGACTTGAGAGTCTATAACAATGAGATATCATCTCACAAACAACAATGAGATATCATCTCACACCACAGAGACTGACCCACATCCAAAAGTACAAAAGCAACAGGTGTTGGTGTGGATGTGGAGAGAAATGGACTCTCCATCACTGCTGGTAGAAATGGTGACTGGTCCAACCCTTTTGGAAAACAGTATGGATGATTCTCAAAAATTAGAAATTGAGCTCCCAAATGACCCAGCAATACTACTCCTGGGAATATATCCCAGAGTGGCAAAAAAGTATAGTCGAAACGACATCTGCACTTCTATGTTCATTGCTTCATTGTCCACAATAGCCAAAATCTGGGGGAAAACACCTGAGTGCCCGAGAACAGATGACTGATTAAAGAAAGTTTAGTACATCTACACAATGGAGTACTATGCAGCTGTTAGAAAAGATGAAGTCATGAAATTTACATACAAGTGGTACTACATGGAAAGTATCATGCTAAGTGAAATGAGTCAGAAAGAGAGGGACAGACATAGAAAAATTGCATTCATTTGGGGAATATAATGTAACAAAATAGGAGACTAACATCCAAGAATAGCCTAGATAAGTACTAGGAGGTTCACTCCATGGCTTGAAGGCCAGCTGCACATGCTAGGGGAAAAGGCAGCTCAGATAGTGAAGGGAACACCAAGTAAAGGGTGTTGGGAGGATCCTCCAAGGATGGGAGATACATGCAGAAAGTAGACTATAGACCGAACATGATTGCCACTCAATGCCTCTTTTGCAAACCTCAGCACCCTCTTTTGCAAACCTCAGCACCCAAAAGGAGAGAGAGAACAAAAGGGAATGCCCTGCCACAGAGGTGGGATGGGATGGGGGGTGGGAGGGGGTGGAGGGCTACTGGGATCATTGGTGGTAGAGAATGGGCACTGGTGGAGGGATTGGTACTTGATCAATGTATAACTGAAACCCAAGCACAAAAATTTGTAAGTCCACAACTGTACCTCATGGTGTTTCACTAATAAAAATCTAAAATAAAATAAAATAAAGAATCCCATTGATACTTTTTGTTATTGTTCATTTGTATGTAATTCCATGCAAAGATGAAGAGGCCACACAGAGTGAGGGGAAGGGTAGGTGGTGGCGTAGGACTATGAAGAAGATGGAATTGTAGAATGGGATCTGAAGCTCACGAGAAAGATAAGTCTATGACAGAGGAAGAAAGAACACCTCTTTTTCAAGGAGCAGGATATCAAGGAAAGTTTTGAATCTCAATTTTAAAAGTAGATGCAAATATGGAAGTTAACTAGTGACCAGAAAGGAAGAATGTATTGTAAACAATAATATTATCATGGCCTAAAAGTAGCAACTAACAGTGAAGAAAATGTGCAAAACATTATCCAGTCCCCACCCCTCATACCCTGGCACGTTTGGCACCAGAAAATTCACTGTAGGTAATTTCAGTCAGACAAAGAAGTAGTGTTCTGAGGATTGAAGATACAAGTATTTCTATGTGGTGGTACTGAAAGTTTTAGAGTCCAATAGAAAGCACAAGGAAGAAGTAAATATTGAAAGAGAGACAGAGAGAGGCAGAAGGGAACACTGCCCTGCAGTAACATCACACTGTAGAGACCAATGATGGAAAGAAATGGTTCTGAGCTGGAAATTCTTGGATATAACATACCTCTAGAGTGTTCACAGACCTGATTTCAGGATTGGCCAAGGGTTGGTCAAGAAATTGTATACAGAAGGATCTCTAACTTCTCTCCAAGGCCAATGTCAAGAGTCAGCAAAGATTTTTCAACTAATGGAAACCAGAGAAAAATGTTCCTTAATACGATATCTTTTTTGTTTTTCAAATTTCTTTGAAGTAGCTCTTATTTTTTCTAGTCATTAAAATGTATGTTTATTAGAAAAATAAGGTAGCACTGTAGCACTATCCTGTTGTTCATCGATTTGTTCCAGTGGGCACCAGTAATGTCTCACAACAAATTGCAAGACTTGTTACTGTTTTGGCATATCAAATACATCACAGGTAGCTTGCCAGGCTTTGCCGTGTGGGTGAGATACTCTCGATAGCTTGCCGGGCTCTTTGAGAGAGGCAGAGGAATCGAACACAAATCGGTGGCATGCAATGCAAATGCCATACCCGCTGTGCTATCATTCCATCCCAGAAAAATAAGGTAACACAGAAATATATAAAAATAAAGATCAAATCTCCAGAGGGAGATAATGTAATCATGTTAACACTTACATTATCTGACACAAGTTTGAATGGCTTGGCATTTCTCTACTAATACTCTAAATCACCTTACCACTCCTTCTGTGGTCCTGCTATCTGCCTAGCTTCATCTCTGTTCTCCTTAACTTGAGGCCTCCATTGTCTGTAGGGTTAATTAATTCAGTTATTCACTGAGCAGTGAAAAGGATGTCAGTACAGCGTCTCTAGATCTTGTTCCACACATGGCCAAGACATTTAAGATCTCAGGTTCAGCGACGATGCTTCTAGGGCAAGTCAGGAAACCACTTAGCATTTCATATTCACTTACCAAAAAGGAGGGCACCTTGTTGAGTGTAAGGCATCTTCTAGATGCCCTGAGGACAGGCACTCAGGAAGGTTCCCCACTAAGACTCTGTTCTTTACCAGCAAGATCCATTTCTCAATGCAGGAATAGTATGACACGTTACAGTGGTTGAATAGTCCTCTGGGGAGATAAATGTTACCATCAAATAAGAGATCCTGAAAATAGCATATGTGTTTTCCCAGTTTTCTTATCTATCTTCATTTTTAGAGAAGGGAAGTGAAATTGGCCCAGTAAGAGCAAAGCTATCACTTTTTTTAGCTTAAAAAATTTGTCCTTAATTTTACCACATAAGTCAGCACTACCCTATATCACAGCTCTGCCAGTTATTTTCTTTTCCTCCTTCCTCCCACCTATCTCCTGCCACTTCCCCAGAAGCATAAAGCTTTCAACATGCTGCTGTCCATTAGCATAAATAAACTCATGCCTTTAAAGGAAAAACAGGCTGAGTGCTATATTTGTAAAGACTGAATTATCCTAAGAGGATAAAAATATTCTCAAGTAACAGGTAGATCATGCAATTTAGAGAATAACATGCTTTTATTGTGGTTCCCTGAAAGTCAATTATTTTAGCCATAGAATAAAACCTTACATCTCATTGTAAATTACATTTTTTACTTCAAAAACTGTTAAGCCATGCAGTTTCTTGGGATGTGTACTTTTGTGTTTTATTTTTCTGTTGCCAATATCTTATGGACAGACCAACACAAAAAAGATGAAGTGCCAATTTGTATCCAATCATTGCTATATGAGCCTGTAGATAATACAGTTATAGCTCTTCTCCTTATTTTTATCCATATCTGTTGTTAATATAAATTTTATGTAACATTTCTACAATAGATAAGAAAATACTGGGCCAAAAAAGAACAGAAGTGGCAAGAAATAGAAATGAGAGATCTTCGGCGTCTGGAAGAACTGAAGAAATTAATGGCTGAGCAGTCTATAAAAGACAGAGAACGGTAAAAGAAAAAAATTAAATTTGGGGGTAATAGAGGTGTTGACTAGCCTTCTGTAGTTTTCTATGCCCAATAGATCTTTATGATATAAATATTCACAAATGGATAAAAGGATACTTAATGATATATTTTCCTTCTCTTCATGGTGTTGCTGCTGATGCTGTTTTGATAATGTGACTGTGGTTCTTGCATTGACCTCATGTGGTGGGCTGGAGATTGAACACCTGTGGTGTCAGGTATCATGACTGATAGGTATCATGACAGTATTGTAACGTATTGACAGTATCAGTATTGTCACGAATGCACTTGGATGTGGGCAGTGCTGGGGCTTATCTCAGGCCTGCAAGGCAGGTGATCTATCACAGAGTCATCCCCGGCCCCTTTATAATGTGTTTTAAACTCTCATATTCACACACGAATCTCCAATTTTCCATTATTTCTCTTAGATAACTCTCCCAGTTCAAATTCTCACAGACGATTTTATAGTGTTTGATGGCGCATTTGTGTGCATGAAATGATACTGACTGCTGCTGTAATTTAATATCTGCTGCAGAAGAGAAAAACCTTTACTCAAATGAGAGAGACCCATTGACTGTGGATGAACCTGAGGAACACAATACACAGTTATAATATGTTGTATGGAAATCATGATATGGCATGCTTAAGGTTCATCCTATGTGGAAAAAAAAACACTGACTTCCTAGAGTTGTGTCATTTCAGATTTGAAAAGGACATTTGCAATCAACCATTCTACTCACCTTATGAATGAGTGTACTAAGAAATCAGTTATTTTCCCAGGGTTTCCTTGTCTATCTGAATTAGAAATCAGAAAACAAGTCATTTTAATAGAGAAAGTTTAAGATAGAGAATTCTTAGTTTAATTTAATTTTGATTTGGAGACCACACCCAGCAGTGTTCAGGGCTTACTCCTAACTCTGCCCTTAGGGATCACTCCTGGCATTTCCCATAGGGCCATTTGGGGTGCTGTTGATTGAACGTAGGTCTGCGTGCATACAAGACAAATTTCCTACCTTATGTACTCTCTCAACAACCCCCCGAATTTTAATTTTAGCAGAAAATCTTATTTATATCAAAGAATAAAGAGAAATTTAAAGAACATCTAGGGCGATAAAAGAAAAAATGTAATATAGGGAACAAATTTGAAAGTAGGGACCCCCCCTTTTGATTCCAACCTCATTTTAGAAGGTGGGGCTGAGGCAAGCAGGAAGTGCCCTGTTGAATGCAGGAGATGAAAGCTGGACCTCAAACAATGGGATTGCTTGCATGACTCACAGGGAATCTAACTATGGGTGCCCCTGAAATGGGTGAGAATTTTCCATAAATGTTCCACTATAATTCAACTGTGTGTCCCCCGCAACACACACACACACACACACACACACACACACACACACACACACACACACACCAGATGCTAGAAGCATGTGGTAGGGGCAAAGAATGTCAAACACAGGAACCAGGAAAGGAAGCCCCTTTCTCTTCAGTGTCTCCATCTGTAACACCATTTTCTGATATTGCTTAATGTTGAGAAATAGTTACAAGGTCTAGCTCAGTTTTCACAGAGTAAACAATGAAAGAGAGATTTGAAACTGAGACACATGATATTGGTAACTGGCAAAATTATCTAGGTTTGCTAGTAGTTCATTATTTTTAACTTTCACTAAAGGTACATTAAGGATAGATCTCATGCTCTTGTGATGTTTCCTTCTAGGATTAATCAAGGTAAAAAAATTATCTGAAACTCTGTACTTTTCACTCAATTTTGCTGTGAATCTAAAACGGATATAAAAATAGTTTATTGATTTCCCCTTTTACACATAACTCTGGAGGACATAACCATTTTATATCACAAAGTTCATTTCTCAAGGAAACTTCCTTTTTCACCTGTGAGCTGTTATCTCAAACTTGAGCCAGTAAACTTATAAAGTAAATCTAGAGTTCCACATAGATGCCATAAAATTTTTATTTATTTATTTATTTATTTATGTAATTGAAATCACTGTGCCATGTAACTTTCAATGGTTTGGGGGAATGAATTTTACATTAATTTTCTGGCATCTCAGGATGTTAGGCTTGGGTTTTTACCTATTACTAAGAAAAACAAAAATATAGCACAGTTGGGGGCTCAGTGCTAATAGGTGACACAACCAATAAGAAGACAGTTAAAAGGGCAGAAATGAAGACAAAAATAGATAGAAAAGACAGACCATGCCAGGAATCAGAGGCAAGAACCCACAAACTGCTACATATTAAAGGGCAGGTCTAAAGGTGAGTATCTAGAGGCTCAATGGACAACTTGAAACTGTGTTGTGTAATGAGAGCGCAAGGTATTAAAGGGCGGAGGGAAAACAACAGATGTGAGGTCTCAGCATCTTGGATACAGGCTTCTAATAGAATCTCCCCTCTGAGCCAGGGAGTTTCTTTCATTACTGAGCCATTTCAATCTTTTCCTTCCTGTCCCAATAATTACCAAGATTAGCTGATTCAGAACTCCAATTGAAAAGAAGAAAAGGAAAACCAGATTCGTCTGCATTACATAAGAGGGACAAAATAGGCATATTGTAACATAATGGAAAAAGCTCACCCAGAGACCAGGATTTTAGTCTGGATTCTTCTTTGACTCATGACCTGGGGAAAGTCATTAAGTTTCTACAAGGCCCTATTTTGTCCTTTGTAAAACTGACTAGATAACTTGTGAGGGACAACTCATAAGGATCTGTGATCTGTATATTCAAATCATATAAAATGTCGCAAATTCAGTTAATTGTGAAATCCAGGCTTGAATGCCAATGCTTGGGGGTGGGGGCGTGATGTGGGTGTGGGTCAGTGAAAAGAATCTTATGATGCCAGTTTATATAAGATAAATGATTTGTGGAAAAAAAAGTATAATGACATAAAAAGCATGTCCTCATTTGCTTATTCAGGGACTTGCTGTTCTATAAATATTGCTGGATTTTGCATCTGATAAGAACCAGAAATTATGTTCCCTCACAACCATCCTGACACTATGAAATTTGGTTGATAGATTATAACGTTCTTGTTTACTACAGAAATATGCTTGGTAAACTTTGAGTATGGTCAGTGTCTGTTAAGGATACTTGCTGTCTCCTAGATTGCTGTCTTCTTAGTGATTCATTATGGTAGAGAGATTAAAGGCAAGCTTTCTGGTTTCTTATTTAATAAGGGCAGGAATCTAAACATGAGAACATAGCCCAATGACCTCATCAAAATCTTATGGTGTTCTAAGTGCCTGAGCTCCAAATACTTTCACATTGGTGGTCAGGACCCACTCTGCTAATTTTGATTATATTAATCCAGTATAGAGCAACCACTTTGTGTAAAAATCACTGGAATGTGTACCAATTACCTATTAAACATAAGCACTTATTTATTGTTACTGTTAGCATATAGTCTTGGTGTCAACTTTCTGTTGGTAAAGGGCATAGAACCCACATCAACAATAATAAAAGGAAATAATCCATTTCTGACCCAAGGTACACAGCCTGACAGAAAGACAAAATGGTACCTCATTCTCCATATCCAGGTCAGTCATCACTTTGGGAAAGCACAAACTTCAAATAATATATGCTATTCCTGCAAACAGACCTGACTAATTTATTTAAAATACTGTATATTGGGGCTGGAACAATAGCACAATGGGTAGGGCATTTGCCTTGCACATGGCTGACCCGGGTTCTATTCCCAGCATCCCATATGGTCCCCGAAGCACTATCAGGAGTAATTTCTGAGTGCATGAGCCAGGAGTGACCCTGTGCATCACTGGCTGTGACCCCCCAAAAAAGCAAAAAATACTGTATATTATTTATATTTCTTCTAAAGTTTAATTCTGTAAGCAGAACTGAAATTTATTTTCATAAATGTTATAAGCTGAAGGTCAGGCATAAGTCTGTTATTGATAATCACTATCAGCACCAATTATTCATTCTTACAAGTTTGAAAAATGTCTATATCTCATTCCCAATTATGTTTCTATATCCATATGGACTCTTTCTGCACAGAAATTTTACTAGGAAAGTTGATATGCAAACCAAATTTAATCTCTAATAACATATTACAAAACTGGTTTTTAGTTATTTTTCTTCACTGGTTTGTTTTTTGTTGTTGTTGTTTTCCTTAGAAAACAATTACAATAAGTAGAGATTGATGACGAAAAAATTAAAAATTTGCAACTTTTAATCAGCAGACAAATGAGAAACAGTATCTAAACTAGAAAGTCGCTGTGGTAATATGAAATTGGTATAAATATTACAGAGGTTTATGAAGTTTTTATTTTTTTGTTTTTTATTTATTTTTTTTGAAGTTTATAGATTAGGAAAAATATAGTGATTCATTTTCCTGAGGATAGATTTGGAAAGAAGAAAGTAAGATTACCCAAAATATGATTGAGCTTTTGCTGTCCTATTAAATTAAAAGCTTTGTTTTCGATTCCTTTAATTTTCTAGTAGGTTCATTTGGTTCCAGGTCTTTTTTCATGCATAATTTTGGGTACAATCTGAAGGCTTGAAATGTTTTTATTATCTCATTTCTAAAGAGCTTACATTTAATTTTTTATGGCCAAACAATAAATTTATAGATATTGGGGTTCTTGCCAAAACAATGTAGTTTTCCATTTCTTCTAATTTTTCACCTTCTGTTTTTTTTTTCATAAACATGTACAGAAATTCAGTATGGGTTTTTTAGAAGTCATTATCACTGACCTTTAATATTTTTTTAAAAAAACCTGTTCTATTCACAAATAATGTATCACAAATTTTCTTCCTTTAAATGGATACTCAATGATTTTTAGTGAACTTATATAAATGTGGTTTGCAATTGCTATAGTTCAGGGTTAGATAATTTTGAACAGCCTGAAAAATCTCAGTTCCATTTGCATTAATTTCTGATCCGACACCCAGCCCCAAATGACTACTTTTCTATTTCTGTCTTTAACAAGGTCAGGAGAGGTCACTTTGATGATGCCT